TGGTAGCTGAAGGAAACTGGACTTTGGTTGGTAAACACACAATAGACTATACAGATGTCAAATTATAATGTACACCTGAAAATTATACAATTGTATAATTGTATTAACCAATGTTATCCCAATAAACTTAATTAAAAAAAGAAATGAAAAAAATAAGAAAATAACAACTTCCTGGATTATTTAATATGACAAATCCAGAAGAAGAGATAAACTTTGCAAAATGTTAAGCATTTGCCCCATAGCTGGAGCTTACAGACATTTGGGGATATTCTTTGTAAAGTAAGAGACAAGTTACTATTCCTTGCATCATCCACCCTGAAGGCACACAACACTTAGAGAGCCTCTCTGTATGTGGGATGTAAAATGTGACAAATCTGGGCATGCTGCTCCAACCTATTTACTAGGTGACCTAATAAGGCTACCACACTCCAGCATGTCCACAGTGTGGTCGAGCTGCCATATGAGTTGGGTTTTATGGCCTAGAATCCCAACAGTATTAGACATGTCTGTGGCAGACAGTGAAATACTGTATGGAACCTCTAAAGAGTCCTAATAGGATCACAGCACAGACCTCTAGGGTTTAAGAGTAAAGATAATGCTTTCTTCGGTCCAAACTATTCTCCATTTGAAAATCGGTACTGGACCCTGGTGGAGCTTGGATGCTTGACAATAGGCTAATAAATGCTATGTGATTATGAACTGAGCAGGCTTTTATCTAATCCACTGAACCACCAAACTTAGTGTACACAGCATTATTTCAGTATAAAATAGATGTGGTATAGATGAGAATGGGTCTGAGATAGTCCAGAAGGTCAAGATAAGCTGCATGAGCAGGTGGCTCAAACTCCTTCAGCACCTACTTATGCTACATTGGCTCTGCTTGGTCTCCATACTTCCAGCTTTAACAGGGAGTCACCTGTGACAGGTTAACAGAGGGATAATATATTGGGTCTAATTTACCATAGATCTGCACAGGACGTTGGCACCATCCAAAAATGGACAGTCACTAGACTATAATCCCTTACTTGGCCCATGAGCACAACTAGAGGTGATACATCTGGTTTACTCACTCACAAAGAAGGGCAGTAGCTAATAGTTGCTCAGCTGATCAGAGACTTGGAAAGAATTAAATTGAAAAATTGGTTATTAGGTCTGGGAAGAGGTGTACTCAGAATGTTGGGCACAGAGCATGTTTATGCCCTCATGAATGCCCTCCAAAGAGCTTCTAGAGGCAGAAAGCTCTCAGTAATCAGACGGACAAGGTGATTCAATAGATGTCAGCTTTTTTCCCTGGCCACATCAGTGGTTTCTCAGTGGAGCCATGTATAAAGTGGTGCTGGTTATAGGGATGGCAGCTATATGTGGAGTCATAAACGTGGTCTTTCCCTCATCGAGGCTGTTCTGGACATGTAGTCACCAAATACTATTGCTTTGTCCCCAGTAATGGCGTATGCTGGCTACCTGGTAACAGACTGATTACACTGACTCTTCTCATAAGGGAGAAAGCATCCCTTGTCTTCACAGTGATAAATATTCTAGATATGTATTTTGTTTCTCTGCCTGCATTACTTCTTTCAGCAATATCATTACAGAACACCTTATCCATCATCATTTTATTCCATATAACATTTCTTCTAACCATTTCTCAAAGGAAGTGTGGTAATGATTTCAGAATAACAGAATACACTCACCATACGTGCCATCGCCTAGAAAAAATTGGCTTTGAGAATGGTGGTATGAGTTGCTGAAGCTCAGGGACAGCGCCAGCTGGGAGACACCTGGTGATAAACTAACACACATGAATAATAATCTATTATATTTCTTCTTTCTTTCTCTGTTTACTTTCAAAACAATCCTCGTCCATAACTGTCTGTTTTTATTTATATAGATGTTTCCATCTCAAACTGAATGGGTCCATCATAAAAGTTTTTTGTCAGTATTCCTCCTGGGCTCAGTTTATAACCCCATCATTTACCCAGTTGTTTCAGCCAGAAATGTAAGGATTATCCTAGACTTCCTACCTTTCATAAATTCCTATGTGTAATCTGTTATCGGGTCCTATTAAATCTGCTTCCAAAGTATCTCCCAGTTATGACATTTCTCTCCCACTGCAGCAGCTCGTTGTTCTCATCTCGACCTCATCCGAGGAATCCTTCTAATTGGTCTCTTTGCTCTAATTTCTTCCCCATTTCTGTGTTAAACATTGACATGATGTTTCTAAAACACAAATTAAACTTTTTTTTTTTACCTGAAACAATTAAGGGCTCCCTGTTACTTACATGCCACATGATGTTCCCTCTCTCCTAGTTTGACCCTTTCTGGCTCAGCTGCATTGCAACAAGATCTTCATCTTTTGATAGTTGGCTCAGATCTCTCCTACTGAAGCCTTCTTGCCTTACCTAGACAAAGTTAGGCACTTCCTTTGGATGTGCCCCATAGATCTTTTTTATATTTGTTTGTTTTCACAATTATCTGTATATTTGTCTGCCACCTTCACTAGACTTTGAGCCCCTAAAGATCAGGGACTCTGTTCTATTTATTAACAAAGAGCTTCAGACATAGTAGATGTTTAATTAATGTGTGTTGCTTATTGAAAGAATGCATTTTATGACTGGGTGTAGTTTCCTTTTTGTAAGTTTGCAGGAGATGAATGAAAAACTTTGTGTGCTTTATTCACTGAAGACATCTAAACACTCTTCCATCTGACTTGCTGAGAATCAACAGTTAACAAAATCAACAAATCTTGATATTTTTTACATCTGTCTTGCTAAAAGTATTCTGATTTTTACATCCTTTTCTTTCTTGTGTCCTACAGGTCTCAGCCCTCCTCGGCCTCCTTTCCAATTTCAACCTTGATTCTTACTAGGTCTCTGCATTTTAACTTCTCTCTCTAACATGATATTCAGAAATACATTTCTATAATGTTCTTTCTCTTTAAGTTTTCTAGTTTAGAAAGAATATGAGATCATTTTAAAGTGAATATATTGCAACATTATCTATAAAGTCAAATTTCATATTCCTTTTGTGTTCTTTGTAAAATACCACTCATTTATTTATAAAGCAAGTTATGACTATTGTAAAGTGATCTTTATTTTTGATCTCCATTGTATTTGAAATTCTGTCCCAATGTGCTAACCTGTTGTTGTTTTATTACTCTTGAAGCCCGTTTAACTATAAATACTAACTTTTAAATAGTTTAAAACAAATTCCTGGAATAAGTATTATAACTCTCTTCAAAAACAAAGTCTGAGGACAAAAATAGATATCTGAATAGTTGTATATCACTGTTGTAAAAGGCATTTCACTCAGGTTTCCACATTTGCTCTTAAGTGTTTGTATATTTGGGAAGGTAAAACATGGAGAAACTCATAAAAAATGTTTTCACCCCAGTCTTCCAGAAGTTTCTGCTTTCTAAATGCATTTTTGTTGTGGCATGAGCATTTGTTAGTAAATCTGGGTCAGTGGGTACCATCACTTATTTACTTATTCATTAATTCAATACATATATATTTAGTGCCAATTATGTTTAGGAATAGAGTATAGAAGTGGAAAATTGCAAGTTCCATGAAGGAATTTCACCTCTGTGCAGATTGCTTTGCAAACAGTGGATACTCAAGAAATAGTTATTAAATGAATAAGTAAATAAAGAACTATAGAAAAATTATGAAATTCTACTTTCTTACCATTTATGCTCTTACTAATCGACATAAATCAAAAGGCATGTTCCTGCTTCTATAAAATGCATTAGCTCTCATGGATCATTACGCATTTAAAATCTGACAGAAACTTCATGAGGGTGGGAACACATCTTGTCACTGTTGTATCCCTTGCCACTCAGGATTATATAAGCCTTTTTTTTTTTAATTAAATGCTTACTATATGCCAGTCATTGTTTTTAATGCTTCACAGGGATTTAAACTTCTAAAACTATGGAGAAAGCTAGGAGGAGGTAGTATTATGATTATCATTTTAAGAAAGAGAATACCAATGCCCAGAAAGGCCAGATTATTCTACAATAGTTATATAGCTAGTAAATCACAGATTCAAAGCAAGATTCAAAGCCAGATAGTTTGATACCAAATCCTAGCTTTACAACACCACTGTGCTGCTTCCTAATAAATGAGTCAAGTTAATAAATAAATACAATGTCAGAATAGGTTAACCTTTAAAATGGAATACCACGGTATATCTTATAATACTGTATTCTAATAAACTTGGTAAAGACTACTTACCTCTGTCTACTCACTCAGCTCATGTTTGGTGGGTGCATTAATTTATGTGCTCAGACTAATATAAGATATAACAGTGCTACAGAAGTCTGGACTTGGAGTCAGATTTGAATTACTGGCTCTGATATATATTTACTACACACATGATCTTGAATAATTTCTTTATTTCTCTAAGTTTCAATTTCCTCATCCATAAAATGGGAATCAAAATAGCTGTCACAAATGGCTGTGTCTTTTTAAAGAGAATTAAATAAGATAGTGTATGAAAAGTACCTGACACAAAAAAAAGAGATGCCAATATCTCTCTTCCCGTTACCTCTTCCCCTCCTTCTCTTTCCTTTTGCTCCTTTCCTTCTCTCTTCCTACTTGCCATTAGCCATGTGATCTTGTAAAAGTTATTCAACTCTTCCAAGATTTATTTCCTTATCTATAAAACAAGCAGGCTAATTATTTGGTCTCCAAGATTCTTCGATTTGATAATTCTATGATTCAGTGATGTAATAATTTAGTTTTTCTTTGTATCAAAAATTCAACTTACTGAGAGGTAATTTTGAAATGAGGCTTCTTTGGTTAGTGTGGTTGATTAAGCTGCTTTGTTTTTTTCCAAAAGATCCCATCACATAGAACTTGGTTTAGATGTATTTGAATTAAATAGAATGAAAATTTGGTTTAATATTTAAATAGTTTTATGGCAACAATATATATTTTCTATATCTACCAATAATCACCTATTCCAATGGATTTATGTTTCTCTTCCTTTCCTTTGTTTAGGTACTACTCAGGAAACCTGGAGGCTAAGTCAACAGATAGTACAACTATAGGTTTAATTCACACAGCAACAAAAGGGCTAATAAAAGCTATCGAAGATGGTGGAGTAGATTCTGTGATGGAATGGGAAGTGGATGAAGTGCTGAACTGGACAAATACACTGAACTTTGAAGAGTAAATACATGTTGCTATTCTTGGGGAGCAAGGGCAAGCATCATTTATTTTTCTTTCTAATATTTCCCACTCGCATGATGAATCTAGGGGCCACAAACATAATCTCCTCCCCACAAAATGAGTATTTATTACTTGTTTAGGAAGAAAAAAGAATAAATAAGGGAGAAAGATTTAAAAAACGGGATTTCTAAAAGTAGAAAAAAATTAGACAAGTGTTTTTTATTGTCAGACTTTATTTTTATGCCTTAGTCTAAATCTGCTTTACTTTTTATTTTAGGATTTAGAAACAAAGCTAAGAACATGAAATTAATACTACAAAGAATTTCCTCAATCTGTAGTCCCTTATCTTCCCATATGAGATATTAAATAGTTATAATTTTTCAGTGACATACTATGGCCCTTGGAAAACATCTTTAGGATTTTTTGTGTGATGAAAAATTTAAAATATTCAATATAGCCATCAGGGAAATGCAAGTTAAAACCACAATGAGATCATACTTCAGACCCTCTAAAATGGCTATAATTATAAAGACAGTATTAAGTGCTGACAAAGATGTAGAGAAATTAGAACCCATATATATTGCTAGTGGGAATGTACAATGGTGCAGCCATTTTAGAAAACAATCTAGCAGTTTCTCAAATGGTTAAACATGGAGTTGCCATATGATCCAACAATTCCACTTCTCAGTATATAGACAAGAGAAATGAAAATACATGTCCATGTGAAAACTTCTATATGAATGTTCATAGCAGCATTATTCACAATATAAGCAAAAAGTAGAAACAACCCAAATATTCATCAGCTGATGAATGGATAAATAAAATGTGGTATATCTGTACAATGGACTATTATTCTGCAATAAAAAGAAATGCTAATATATGCTACAATATTGACGAACCTGATAAGTGAAAGAAGCCAACCAAAAAGGACCACATATTGTATAGTTCCATTTGTATAAAATGTCCAGAATAGGCAAATCTATAGAGGTAGAATGTAGATTAGTGGTTGCCTAGGACTGGGAAAATTATGGGCATTGGGAGGTTATGGCTAAGGGGTGCAGAGTTTCTTTTTGAAGTAATGAAATATTCTAAAATTGATCGTGATGGTGGATGCACAACTCTGTGAATACTCCAAAAGCCACGGAATTAATATACTTTACATAGGTGAAATGCATATGTGAACTATATCTCAAATTCAATATTTTAAAAATATTGAATATTTACTCAGCTACAATAATGAATGTGAATATTGCATGGATGAAGAGGCAGAAAAATTCAAATGAAGATGGTGTAAGTAAAGAAACATAAGAAAAAAGAAGAAATTAGGAAGAGAGATAAGAAAATGGAATAGGAAAAATCAAGTTGATTTTCACTGAACAACAGGACAGGAAAAAGAATCCAAGAGGACTCAGAGAAGAGGATAGTGAAAAAAGGAGAAAAAAGGGAAAGAATGACTAAGAAAGAAGGAAAACAAGAATGAAAGAAAAAAAGATATTGATAGGAAAGATCTATTAGAAAGTTAAAAAGGAAAGATAAGAAATAAAGAAATAATTATCCATAACACATACTCTAAAATATTTTTAATAAATAAATAATAAAAAGAGATTGTTATGGTTCCATAACCCCAATATCTTGTCCAGACCATAGTACTGAGATTCCCTATAGACAGCCTGTCTGTGATTTCTGAGACACTGAATAAATACAGATGGTAATAATGATGCAAGAAATGGAATTCAAAGAAAAGCACTGTAATGCTACACTTCACTTATTTTCTCTAAGAGTAAAAGTTTCTAGATAGAGAATGGAGGGAAGAAAGGGAGAGAGAGGTAGGGGAGGTTCATTTTGAATGATCTTCTGAGGGCAGGATAGTGAATTGTTTCAGGTGAGCTTTCAAAATCCCGCTCTGCCTTTTCCTTATACAAGTTGGCTAATTCAAGCAAACAGCCAGCAAGCTGTTGGAATACAAAAAATAAGTTAAGTTCAAAGGGAAGAAATAAACCAGCATTTCAGTCTACCTAAGACTTTCCCCCACTGTCATCCACCAACACCCTTCACTGGTAATTGATTTAAGATTCTTAATGGCTTCTCTTTGTGAAAAAAAGATTTGAAGTGGTTTTTTGTATCATATACTCTATATGGATGAATACACCTAGGTTTGATATGGTAAGACTAACTGAAATTTTCCATTTTTAAAAATACACATACTTCATGTTTCAAAATTATGTACAACTTCTATTAGTTTAGTCTCAGGCATCATCATAATTTGGCACTAACTTTGAATTCTTAGAAAGCAGGTTTTTCTATTGAGCTCTGAATGACAAAAATTTCAAATAGAATCCCGCATGATTATTTGGGAATATTTCAGTAGCGTTACTAACCCCAACCTACTGATTGTCTCAGGCAAGACCAAACTTTGCAAAGACCTTCCCCCAACTAACTGCAGCCCTCAAGTGTAAGCACCTTCTTCCCGGTGCACTTATGGTCTCCACAGTCTGCTTTCCTGTTAATATCTAAATGTTTGCAACTGGCTTGATGATCCCCTGTTTGATGAAAATTTCAGAGTCTGATGTTTTCTTTAGGAGAATTGTTAGCCACTAATTCCTTGGAGAGTATCCTTCAAAATTTATGGGCAAAATAGATCATTAGGATTACAGAAATGTGTTGAACACTGACACTGAGTGATACAAACCAGTTTCTTCCCCAAAGGCTTTTGTGCTAGCCTCTTGTTATGACAGATGGCTACTCTCCTGGGAAGAAGCCATGCACATCTGAAGATGCACATTGCAACGATATCAACTGAGTACAGTATTATTATAATTTTAAAAAATGGATAGAGCCAACTTCACTCTTGGACTCAAGGACACTGACAAGTACTGTTGCAAATTCTGCAGCATCTAGGGATATGTTACTGCGAGCACTTAGCATGTAAATCAAACCCTGCATCGCAATCGAGTTGCCCACAATGCCACATGATGGCTACCGTGACTGCCGCTGTCATTCATACTGTTGGATCTTCAGCTGCATATTCTCTATCAAGATGATTGTTCCTCTTCCAGGATCTTCATATTTTTCAAACTACAAGTGAATTTTGACATAACCTGTTAAAGTGATCAGCAGCTGGGCTATCTTAGATAATTTCCTGATATCCTATTAACTGTGTTGGCAAGAAATCTTTGCCTATGAGTGTGATGGGTAATTTCTATATCTGAAGCTGTTCCTTTGATTTATAAAACATGTAATTATGTGGCCTCTCTGGCTAGGAACTTTCCCCAGACCATTAAAATATTAAATTTGTGCTCCCGAGGGATTCATTATAGATTCCACATATGCATTATTCTGCAATTATTATCTAAAAACTTCCAGAATTTTCTTAGTGAGAAACACAGATCAGTTCTATGATATAAACTGCATAGTAATGCTATCATCAGACTTTTGCTTCTATTTGTAAAACTTAGATTTTTTTTTTTATCAGTTACTGCTGGTATGTTCTTTATGAGAAGTTCTTTTTAAATAATTAAATAAACTCACATCAATATCAGGTAAAGCTGGGTCAGTGATCAGCCATAATTAAATGTGGCATATGTTTGAAGTCCAGAGTGTCAGGAATCAGCATCCAATGGATTGAAAGTCCTTAATCTTGATTCCTTGAAAGTGAAATGAAAACCTTTCAGTATATAAATCCAAGGAAGCAGGGCGATAGACATCCAAATCTTCACAGTGATCCCGAATGACTCACTGAAAGCACAAAGTCTACCTAAATTTAGGGTCAAGCCAGATTAAATTGTCTACTAAGAGATCCTGGGATAGGGTTGTACTGCCTGCTGTTACCCGGCATCTTCCCATTTAACAGTGACCCAGCAATGTCCCATTTAATGCCACAGAATAAAGTTCATGGAGCAACAAGTGGTAGGAGTGTAAGAAGGGGCCTACTTTAGACACAGCACTTTATGACAATTAAATACTGTTAGATAATATATATCTTCCTAAAATAAAAAAACTTCAGAAGCATAAAGTTAACAAAAGTAATTCAAGTGGGGTAAACAAATACTTGGAAAGTCAACAGTATTTTCTGAATCAAACGATAATTCTAATCCTCCTCACCCTTTCTCTGCCAGCTCCCTTTTGGCACCTGCTGTGACCTGATTTCTTGGGTGCAGTTGGAAGAAAGGAGGGCTTGGGAAAGGGAGATACGCTGCCTAAAATGAAACAGAATAAATAACAGGAAACCTGACTCTTGGAGAGTTCCTTCATCTTCCTAGCTCATCATACCTTGTTCTTCCTTGTTCTCCCTCTTCTCAGGTTACCCTCGTCTCCCTATTTCAGTCTCTGTTTAGGGAACTGAGGTGGCAGCTGCATGTGCTCTACTTAAATGTGATCTCTTATGTTTACTGGACACTGCAAGACAGCACCATTGCTCTGCTTTAAATTGTCATTGACATGGCAATCCAGAACCAAGGAGAAAGTTTTTGTTGTTGTTTTCCCCTATTTTCCTCTCATAGTTTTTTGTACATCTTTGTTCGTTCTCTCTCTCTCTCTCTCTCTCTCTCTCTCTCTCTCTCTCTCTCTCTCTACCTATTTTTAATACTTTTAAGTTAAATTTATTGGGGTAGCATTGGTTAATAAAATTACATAGGTTTCCAGGGTACAATTCACTAATATGTCATCTGTATATTGTATTGTATGTTAACTAACATCTTAGTAGGCAGTCAACTGAGGACATGATCTTGCAGGAGTAGAACAGGATAAGATGAGGAGAGGTTGCTGGAGGGAGACCAAAGGGCACTAACGTGGTAGATGGCGGCACCATTTTTTATCTTCCCCAACTCCTTGTCCTAGGGGTTGCTTTAGGTGTGTGAGAGCTACGTGGAGTGGGAAAGTCATGAGAATTAAACATTTGGACTAGTGAATTTGTCACCACTAATCTAAGATTTCATGGAGAAAGTGGAATTGTAGAAGTAGTCTAAGCATGTGCTAATGAATCAATTTATTACTTACTAGTAAACCAATTTAATGAATGTCCATGTAATGTGCTTAGGTATATCGCCAACTGGAAGGAAATTGCTACAAGCAACTCTTCAGCTAACATCAAAAGTAGGTGATTT